CACCGGAAAGGGAACAAAGAAGGGGGAAAAAAAAAAAATCAAGGGGGAAAAAAAAAAAAAATCAGAATATGGACCCACAAACGCCACGTGCCCGTCTCTCCCCGAGCACGAGGGACACACCAGGGTGGGCTTTACCTGCGTGAAGTTGATGGGTTTGTCTTTGGTAATGCAGTCGGCGTATTTGCAGGCGAACATCCCGCAGTCGCTGCCGTTCATCTGCTGCGGGATCTCCTTTAGGGAAAAGACACGAAACCGTTATTTCCAGAGGAGCCCGTCCTCACTTTCCGGCTTCTAAAGATGACGAGGTCCAAGCGAGGGACCTCTCGCAAACAAGTCCTAACGAGGCAGGTCTGCACGGACGGGCGAATGCCAGCGCGAGTAAGGGGAGATGAAGACAAGAGGGTGGGCAGAGGAATCGAGGTGGCACTGGGGCAGCCCCGGCTCCGGAAAGCCTCCCTAATTCCACGTAGGATGGGAATCTGCAGCGAAGCATCCCACCACTGGGATTTGTTCACCCCCTAGAGTCACCGGGAAAACGCGTCCGTCGGGAAAACCAGCTGGGAAAGAACCATCAGGGCAAAGAACAAAGGCAAAGAGCAGGAGAGACCCCTTCCCCAAACCTACCTGACTCTTCTTACTCAGCAACGACCAGCCATTAGCGTCGAACTCTTTCCTTTTCTTGTCAAGACTTTCCTGTTTTAAGTATTGCCTGTAGGAATAAGAGAACAAAGAAAGCTTACTTTAGAGGAGCGGGGGAAACCAGCCAGTACACTGTATGTCAGTTTACCCACGATGTCCTCTGCCCTGTTTGCAGAATTAATGCAAAAATGGAAGTCCAATATTTTCGTCTCGGTATTGGCCATTTTTAAAAGGGCTCTATAGACCCGGGCTTTGAGGCAGTCCAAAGAAAGACCAAGCAGAACTTAAAAATCCATCCAAAAAAAGTACCTGCCAAGCAGAGAGTCAAAACCGCAAATAAACCAGCGAGAACAAATCTAATTCATCGGAGAGCGACTCAGGGCAGAGAAAAGCTCGGCAGCCACGGGGCTGCCTCAATGGGCTCCTGCCAGCGGAGCGTTACACCCGAGGGGAGACTGGAGAGCTGAACTCCGTCCTGTGAACCGGTTCTGCCCGGGTTTTGAGGATCTTAATCAGCATAAAGGTAGAGAGGAACAAATTTGTCACAACCTTAGCAGCACCCCAGCAGCTCTGGAACAATCACCCTGGGGGGGTAAAGCGTCAAAAAACCACCACGAAGCTCCTCTCCGGGCTGGCGGTGGGTTCAAGCGCTGGCAGATGTTCCCCTGGAGCTCTTCTCCCAAGGTTTCCCCTTCCACTCTTGATTTGACGTCTTACCACAGCAGAAGACAGATGGCAAATGCTCTCAAGGAGAGGCAAACTAGGGAAGATGACCCCGATTTTCTCCCGTAAGGCCCAAGGCGTGGGGACGGAGGGGAGACAGCTCTGGGAAGAGCCACACCGCAGTCCCCTCCGAGATGGTTTCACAGGGACTGAGTCAAGCGGAGAGCACGAGCGGGAGAAGGAGACAGCCGTGGCGGGGGTGGGATGTCAAATACCTTTCCCAAGCAGAGGGTAAAGAGCCACAGAACCAGTCCCATTCCAGTTCCCAGAACCGGAGAACAAGGAAAGCTCACGGGTACTGGCCCATCCCCTCTGCCCAAAGAGGCTTCCACCAGTTTGGCCTCAATTGTACCACTGGGAGAACAGAAAAGTGTTTTGTGGGTTTGGGTTTTTTTTTGCTGCCTCCTTGAAAAAGTTTAGAAACTCTACCAAGACCATGCCTAAAGTACGCCCGTGCGTTTTCCTTTGCAGATATGAACACATTGAACCATTCCCTTCACTGGGAAGTATGGAAAAAGGAGCTCAGGAAGGACACAGACATAAAAGTGGACCAGAGGGAGCCCAAGGAGATGAGGTGATGCGCCCAAAACATTCTTAATGGCCCTGAAGAAGCCCCTCTCTGTTGGCTGCCGACGTCACTAAGTGACATTCAGCTTTGCAGACACCTTCTGCTCATCTTAATTACCAAAAGGACCGGGAAGATCTACAGAAACCATCTCCCTCACGTTTGGCATCTTCTCAAAACTACCCGAGGAGCCTTCTCACTGTCGCGGCTGTGATCAGAAAGTTTGGAAAGGAAAAGCAGGGGATTAGATGCTGCTGGCTTGAACGGAGGGGTCAAGAGAGCGTCTGGCGCGGAGAGGGAGGCGGGTTTGGCCGCCAACGCGGGGAGATGTGCCATCTTTCGGAAATCTGATCCACAAAGACTTGGCTAAATCGCGTCTTGCTGTTAGTAAACGCTGAAACGCAATGGGAGAAGGTGGCGATGCGACCCGCAGGGATGATGTAGAGTCAAACTTGCTGCTTTGGTGCCAGTCAGAGGATTTTCTCTACCATAACTCCAAAGAACTACTCAAAGAAAAGCTCTCCTGGGCTGAAGAGTCCCCGAAACACGCAGGAGCCACTGAACGAAGTACTCACAGTGGCAGCAGAACGACCCAGCAGCCTCTCAACATGAAGCCAACCTCTTCCTAGTGATCGTACGTCTAGAAAACAGCCAGGAGTAGGTCTTGCTGGGTGTAGAAGTGTCAAGGAGGGGAGTTCTCCCTCCTGGCAACCCCCCCTGCCCCTCCCCGAGAGCAGATCAGGTCCAGTCAAGCGTTTTCTATCAGCCTTCATTAGCTGGACGCACACTCCCAGCCCAGTTCCCCAGCACAGGGTCTGCTGGCTGCCAGCGACCGCTGTAATTGCTCTTGGGAAGCTCTCTGCTTGGCTGCTTTGCCTCGGCTGCAGTTTGGACAAGACCAGATCAGCAGGGGGTAAATCTCAGGAGAAAAAAAAAAAAAAAAAAAAAAAAAGAAAAAAAATAATCCCCTGTCACTGAGCACGAGAAGTGCCCATAGCTCATCTCCAAAAATAAAACCTAATGGACGGAGAAGAAACTCCCTGCGACGAGTTCAAAATCCGGGTGAGCAGAGCCTCCAGTACGGTGGCTGGAGAAAGGGAGCCGACTATCTGCACCACAACACAAACGCGGTGAAAACGTTAATTAATTAAACGGCCTCGTTTCAATGGCAATGAAAAAAAAAAAATCCTAGCAATTACTGCCTACCGCAGAACCCACTTGAATCCTCAGCTAAAAAAAGAGCAGCAGCACACGGCCCACTCCGTTCCGCACATTAGAGACGGGGGGCGAAGCTGGGCAGATAAATAAAGGGACGCATCACGCGAGGAACGGGGACGAGACTCCAAGCAACGTCCCCACGTGGAGCGGATCTGCACATACGGAGCAGGGGCGGAGAGAGGATCCGAGCGTGAGACTCGTCTGGCAGACAAGGAAGAAACCGGTGAAGTTTACATGATGCCGGAGCTTCAGCGAATTAAGCGACGGGGTGGCTTCGGCGCGTCCAGTTTTATCTGCGACTACCCCAAGCCTGAGCTGCGATGCCGACGCGCGCACGGCAGCCAGGAAATTTTGAGTTGTTTTCTAGAAGAGCGAGGAAATAACCCACTAAAAGCGGTTCACATTAACTGCGACCATCACCTCTGCGGGTCCCTAAAAGCAGCAATCCGGCCTGCACCCGGAGAGCAGCGACCATCAGACACAACCTGTACGAAACACGGCACCGGTCCTGCCTGGGTAACAGCCTGAGCCACCTTTTAGAAAACGCCTTAACTTAAAACCATGAGACAACTCAGGAGGCAGAACTTAATTGATGAACTTTGTCAGGACCTCAAGGAGAAAAAGCTTGACGCAGAATCATGAAGCATAATTACACGCTAAATCAAACCCCAACATGTCTGAGATGTCCCATCAAATACTGCAGGGCTTTTAACCTCAGTTTCCTAAATCTGAAAATGGATTTTTGCCCTCTACAGTGCTTCCACACACAAAACCCTGACCAGGTGCCTCAGGGAACTGTTGAAATCAACTCCACAGCATACCGCTAAATGTCTGAAAGCCTTCAAGTAAAGGGCACGTAAAGGTAAGCATTTCAAGCGCTGCTGCTAGCAGGAGATAAGAAGATTTTATGGGCATGAGTCGCTTTGTGCGCTCTATCCCCTAAGCTTTCCTCCAGCCTCAGTACACTAGAATCAGGTTTTTAACTAATTTTAACAGGTTGGTTTACGTCCGCTCCGAAACACAGACCCTTTCAGCAGAGCTGAGAGACGGAGCACCCTGTTTCCCCAAAGAGAAACCCCCCAAACCAGAGGCAGCTTTCCTAAAACCCAAGAAATGGATAAAATCAGAGAAACAGAGGATTTCTTAACGTCCTCTCCAGGTCTCACCCCCATGTCGTGTGAAAGCCCAGCTGCTGAAACAAAGCACGGCAGCCACCACACCACGAACATCTCTGGTCCCTGCTCACCCCGAGCCTGCCCTGCGGCCCTTGTATTTAACCAGTTACCGTCCCTGTGCCTCAGTTTCCCTCCTCCGTAAAGTCTGGCTAACGGTATGACACTCACCACCTTTAGGAAGCTCTAAAGATTGAAAGCATGAAAGGGTCACTAACCATGAATAGGACCTCCGTCCCTTCTTCCCGGTGTGATCCTCCCACTGCATTCAACCAATAAAAGCCTCCTAAAAGGAAACAGAGGGAAAACAATTACGTCCAGGGCAACAGCGACCTGAAATCACGGCTCTCTACCACTCACCCTGCGTGGCCGAAACACCTCGTATCCTCTGGTACTCTCTACTACCAGTTTGGGGATCTGCTCCCTCATCCCCAACCCCTAAACGAAGCACGGGCAGCACTCCTGGATCCCCCTCTCACCTCCCAGGTGCTTCGTGTCACCAGATGTCCGCGCTTTTTTCCTTGAAATCAAAGAAATTCGCGTTGAAAGGAACTGATTTCACCCAGACCATCCCTGCCCCGAGGCAGGCCGGCTCTGCTTGCACCGTTCTTAAACACAGCAGGAGAAGCCACACTGCGAAGCTAAAAAGTGCTGCCCTGAGCCATTTCCCATGATTTGCGACTTTTCCTTTCCCTTTCCTCCCTTTAGACCAACATCACAGAACAGTGCAGAAAAGGAAAACAGCTATTTTCACAGTTATTTAAATGCACGCAGGCTGCAAAACACCTGAACTGGAAAATGAAGGTGCTAAATGGACTGGAAATGGCATTTGTCTGCTGTCTGTCTTTATCATTATTCACATTCCTTGACTGAATGAGTGACACCTCCGCTGACATACTCAACCTCACGCCAGAAGACTCAGGATCAGATTCCCAAGTCGGCGTCAGAGCGAAGCTGAGACAAGAAACAGAACCGATGGCCGACCCAGGGTCAACGTCGGAGCGACAGAGGAGCTGGCGACCGCGTTTCGTGAATCGCTTTGCAATCTGGTTTGTCTCAAACCTGACGCCCCTACGTGACCTTCAAAAAGATGGTGGTTTTTCACCCCAAGCCCAGCGAGTAGCTCATTTTTAATTGCACTCCATACAGCTTCCAAATATGGGAAAAGAGTTCTGGATTTCACACGCAAGCACCTCTCTTCTACAAGAGGCCGGAGAGCAGGCAGCCAGCTCCGCTCCCTCCTGGAGCGTCGCTCCGGATGGGAAAGCCGAGCTCTCCTCTGCAGTCTGAACACAAGAAGAACAACTTTCCCCCAGCTCTGGTTTGGAGGCACGGCATGGCCTGTAACGCCCTGCCGGAACTCTGTACGGAAGAGACCTGTGCACACCTTTATCCACGGCCCGATGCAAGAGACAATCCCGCGCCCGACGTATACCATCGCGCTCTCCAGAATCTGTCTCACAGAAGTGCCGAGCCACCGAGCCGATGTGTGCCACAGGCAGGAGAAGCTCCCACCTGGAGGAAGGGGCCAGGAGATGGCATTTCTTCAAGCAGCTGAAGGACAAAGCGAGGACCCCTATCCCTCAGCATCCGAGAAGGCGTTTTCCTCCTAAAGATGATGCCCAAGACGACTCTGCAAGCCTGCTAAAGCCTGATGTTCTTAAAAGAACAGGTCTGAAACCTGTCTATACCCATGAAGATAACACCAGTCTGACCGAGGTCTTCTGGGAAGAGGCGAGGACAGGGCATTGGCACAGGACTCTCGCAGACCAGCTTTGTCACTGTGGACCACATCAGCAACACGGGGTGAAACGCGAAGCGTGAAAACCAGCATGTTCCTCTGAATCCTCCTTTCAGGACCCAGAGAGGGGCTGTCCCCACGGAAGGGTCGTCGCTTCCAGAGCGAGATAAAAAGCTGTCCGGTTTTTAAACAGGCACAACTCAAACAAGTGTTACTCACAACAGTATCCTGCAGGCTTCGCTGTTTATTCCACCCATGGAGTCATAATAGGTGATGGTTTTTTTCCTGAAGTCTACCACCTACACAAAGAGAGATTCGTTAATAACGTGCAATACAAGGAGCTCAGTTCTTTCCCAGGACACAGGCTCTGCCGACAGAAAGAAGACAGTTTAGATCATTCCACAGCAGAGAAGGATTTCAGAGGACTTCTACCATCCTCACTACAGCCCTTCCCAAAATCCCCCCTCGCTGCTGTGTTCTTTAACCACTTGAATCTCTAAATCAGCTAAAACACAAGAGCATTCTGTTACCCTTATCGTTAAAGCCGCAGACAGATAGGTTTACGGAGGCTTTGCTCCACCTGACATGTACGTTCTCAGCAGTTCAAGACATGCGTCCCCCAGGTGTTTCTTCGGGGCCCCCATGGCTCATTTCCACCCCACCGCTCACCCAGGTGAGCGCCGCCTTTCGGGGCAGCTTCACAACCCTCCGAGGGGGTTTGAGCCACGGAGGCCGACGCAGGCTTAAAAGCCACGCGCGATCTGTTACGGGAGAGGTGCCACAGCCAAGAGAAGGGACGGAACAAAGCAGAGGCAGAGAAAGCTGTGTGCTATCTGTCATCTAAATCTTTCTCAAACGATCCCGTGGCAACGTCTCTAAAGACGAGTTTGTGGGAACGTGGAAACGAGATCTTTCTCCGGAGAATAAGGTGCCCTAGGGTGACCTTCACAGCTGTCTATTTTTTCTTTCAAGACTAGAAACACACCCCAAAAAAAGTTGCAGCTATGTTTTTTACTGGCTCTAGACTTTGATTTTAAGCACAAACACAAATTTTCCCCCCATGCAAACACCTGACAAATGCATCACTCCAAAGCCACTACATTTTAGCCTTAGCCAGGTGGGTTTATAGGACGACCAGCTCCAGCTACGCTCTCCTGTGGACAACCAAAGCACTCACTGCGAGGCACCAGTGCACTCCCAGATGAATAGGCACCAAGAGGAGATCCACAGAGAAGATATCCACTTTTTTAGTCCACCGTTTCACGGCTTGGTACCCCGCCGTTTTTAATTTGGTAAAGAAGAAAGTATTGAACGCATGAACCGCCGGCAAACCCTTCTCTTTGCTCCGCTCCATCAGCAAATTCATGTAGAAATTAATTATCTGAGGGGGGGGAAAAAAAAAAAAAAAGCATTCAGGACATGTTAAGTGTTGACACGTCTGCATAAGGTGCTCTGCCCCTGTGCAAATTTAGGTAAGGAATTGGTTTTCCCTCTACCTGTCCCTCTGTAAATCCCTGGAGGGATTTACAACAGCTCAACAGCCTTAAAAACCTTCAAAAATTCAGGATGCAGTCTCCTATAGTTAAGATTTCTTTTTTTTTTTTTTTTCTTTGCCCTGATCATGCCCATGGTCAGCCCCACTCCTCCCAATATTATTTCTTCAAACACCTGGTCTAACACAGGGCTTTCTCCATAGATTAACTGCTCCGGAGCGCGAAGCACAGCCCACACCTACTACTCACTGCGACTTCTCTCAGCACGGAGAAGGCAGACACGTTTGCTCGCTTTAACCTACTTCAAATCGCCGAAGAAAAACATCTCAACAGCCCAAGGTAGACTCCTCACCTCATCGTTGAGCCAGTTCAGATTATTGAGGGTCTGAATGTCTTTCCGAGTGATCGTTAACCGAAAAGCTTCACTCAGGACCTCATCCTGGTTCCCGCCTCGGAATACGTTCTTTATTTCCTTTTCCATTTCCTACAGGGAGGACACAGACAACACGGGAAGGGAGAGTTCCTGCTATTCCCATCACAAAGGCTGGACTCAAACCCAGGTTCATTCTTTGCTCCTCAAAGGATAAACTTGCTCCCAAACGTGCAGGGCAAAAGGGAAGAGCTATCTGTTGCTGTGCGCGGATTTCCAAATTTAGAGCTTTTATGCACACAAGCGTCTGTTTGCGTACGCTAGACCTGAGCGGACTCACCTCGGTGATTTCAGGGAACTCCTCTTCGCCATCAGCTGACTTAGCATCCTCCTTCTCTTCCGGCACCACTGTGACAGGGATCTCCTTCTCGAGAGGTACTCGAAGATTTAAATCCACCAGATCCTGCACCGAGTGTTCCTGTTCCTGCAACCGCTGAAGGAGAGACCTTCAGATTAAGTGGGGTCCAAGGGAGTCACCGCTCCGGGGCTTGCGAGGGAGCTACGTGGGGCCAGTTGCTCCAGGAGATGCAGAAAGGGGCACCAAGGGGGAGCATTTATCCTGGTCACGGCACTACCGAGAGCTCTGCCACGGGAAGGGGAAGACACCGCACCCCGAAGGAGTCCATTTTTGCCATTTTTCCATTTCCAATTTGCTTTCAACTCTGCGGTTTAACATTTGGACTTGTAAAGACTGTTCTTTTAGTACCTGCTCGCCCTTACCTGGCTTTGCAGCTGTAAGGCCAATGCTTTCTGCTCTTCAATTTGCCGCCACCTCTCCCGAGCTCGTGAATCATAGACGCTGGTCCTGAAAAGCACAGTTTACATTAACAAATCAGTGTTTTATTTCTACACGTGAACACTCACGAGAGAAAAACAGAGCAGAAAACATGTACTTACAGTTCTTTGATCCAGAGTTCTGCCTGGAAGAACGGGAGGCTAGAATGGGGGGGAAGAAGGACAGGTATAAGTGGGGTTCTTCACATGGAGAGTAAGTAATTGCCAGAAAAGTGATTTGTAAGTATCAGCCGAGGACATCCTGATTGCCAGAGAAAGAAGAGCTACAGACTGATCCACCAGCGACTTGCAGCTGGGTCTCGAGAAGGAGGTTTGATACATCAACACTCAAGTTCCTGCAACTACAGCAAACTGGTCTCCCTTCATGAGACGTTCCGAACGCCACCGGTCACCTTTTACTCCGCATTCTCGCCTCTCCATGGTATTCAAAAAGCAAACGGAACCCACCCCTTCTTCCAGACACCATTTTACAGCCTCTTACCTTGGTGCTGGCGTTCTGGAATCCTTTACCTTGAGCAAAATGACAGAGTCCGATCCTAGAGAGAGTGAAGTTTATGGAATGCTGTTATCCTCACAATTACAATCCACTTCCCCAAGGAGCCCAAATACAGAGGGGGAGGGAAAAAGTGGGTTTGCCACAATACATTTAATTGCCAGGTTTGGGGGACTTGTTTTGGGTTTGGTTTTTGTTTGGTTGTTGGGTTTGGGTTTTTTACCTTCAGACTGTGTGTTAGATGCTGGTAGATTTTCTTGCTGATGCTGGGCTGTGGAGTTACTGGACTGAAAGAGGCTGGAGGGATAGCTGGGGGGAGAGTAGAGCGACGGTTTGTGTGACGGCTGCTCCTGCGCTCTGAGGACGCCGGCTGCTGAACTGGCTGGTGCGACGCTGTGAGCTTCAAACAGCTTTGAGTTCTTGCTGGGAGTTTCTTTCACTATGGTTTTGCTGGAATTGGAACACCTGGACCTAGGGAAAAACAGACAATAAGTTCCTAGCGGACACGTGCAGCGCTGTCAGCTGGGACAGAGCATTTTACATACTCACAGGTGGAAGGGGAATAGCGAAGAGGGCTTGGATGTGGAAAATTGTTTTCCTGTGACCATCTGAAGCAACTGCCTGTAGATCTCTCGCTCTTCCTCTCGAACAGTCTGCAGGGAAATAACCAGACATGTCTGCCCAACACGATTTCAGCAAAGACACCACGAATAGCGAGCAGATACACGTAGAAGTAGAGATTTTATGGGTGCGAGAACATCCAGGGGTCTTGAAGAGAGATCAGCCTTGATCAGACCAACTGCAGTTGAAGTCTGAACGCGAGCAGAGCTGAAGCCAGCTTCTGGCTGGAAGAAGGAACGAATCCAGAGCCAGACAGTCAATTAGAGCCGCCTCAAACGCTTTGTGATGCTCAGAAGATATCTCCCAACCCACCAAAAGGTCTCCCAACCTTTTCTTTACCTCTTCCGCCGTGCTGATGAACCGCCGGGGAGTTTTCTTGGGGCTAAGCAGGCTGCGGCGACACGGCCCGCTCCAGGAAGGACTCTGAGCGGGTTTGATCGGAAAAGCCGACGCATGGCAATGGTGGTTTGATTTTCCTACAAAACTGTTGGACGTCCCACTGCGAGGAGAGAAAGAAACGCTTTATTTTGATTTCCTGCTTGTTTTAGTCCGTAACCTCATCCTCCCCAGCCAAGAACCGGGTTAACCAATTGTGATAAAAAAATTAGTATTTCATTCGCATTTTAAGAACTGTCTCAAAGCTGAAGTCGGGCTCTCCACCGGCGCTATCTGAAACAGTTCCTGAAGCCCGTGCGGCCAAACCGATGCCACCAGGTGGCACTGCGAGGCTGAGGAGCCACCGCCTGGAAACCCCCGGCCAGACCTTCCCGCCAGATCCACCAGCTCCCGCTTCCATCCACGCACCACAAAATGGCTGAACCAGGAGACACCGCTCTCGGCGTTGGAATTTATTGATAAAAACAGAAGGTCCCCCCTCCCTCGCCTTGCTTCTCCTCTCGCCCACGCTGAGGCTCACCTAACAGCCCATGAAAAAAAATACACACGGGTCGATGCAGTGTTTCTCCCGTTGAAATTAAATTTCCCTCTTTGCAAATACACATTGGATTTTCAGGAGAAATAAAGACCTGATCCGGTTTGGAAAGGTGTGAAGCAACACGAGTTTATACCAGCTGCAAAAATAGCTCCTGCACCCAGCACCGCCTGCACGAACCAGCACGTTTTCATCACAAAATGACGCTGTGTTATTTCTCCCCCAGTTTCCCAGTGGTGTAACGATGTTCCCGTTCTCATCCCAGCACTCCCGATACACTCAAAACCGACCTGTCACACCACCAGCTCCTGCGAGAGACAGGTTATGCCACGCTCTGCTCTCTCAAAACCAGCGCTCACGCCTTTTATGAAGCAGCTTTGCCACAGGGAGGTTTATAAGCAGCAAAAAGCACCTACTGAACTGGCCAACCTTGACCCACGCAACTATTTTCACCCTGAATTCACCCTGTATCGACACCGGCTGTTTGTGTGGGTAAAACCCCCACCTGAAGCTCCCCTAGGGCTCTGCGGGGATGGTTTAACATGAAGGGAGCTGTACGCACCTGGGGTTTTTGCGAGCTTCAAGGTAAGAGCCTCGGCTCACCCTCGGCTTCTGCGGCACGGAGCCCAGAGAGGGAACCATGCCCCTCCACTGCCCGTTTGCGCTGGAGCCAAAGGCTCGAGGCTCCCCCACTGCCCGGTAGCTCTCGGGGCAGGGGACTTCTGCAGGGGAGAAACACGGCAGCGGTCAATAAACAGCCACATCCTCCTCTCCAAACTGCTGCGGGGAGGGAACAGCCAAAAACCTGACACTTCAGGGCAGAAAACAATGTCTTACCTGGGCTGTAATTGAGAGCACAGGATGCATTTCCAGCGGGGCAAGCAAAACCGCCGATCTTGTTGGGCAAAAACTGTGTGAAAAGATCGTAGCATTTATTAGAAGAAAGCACAAATCAATCTTAAACCCCAGGTGCCACAAAACTGGGGGGGCGGTACAGACACGACATGTTACAGCTCCTCCCCAGTCACATAGTTATAAATTAGTGATTACTGATGCAGACTGGTGTAATAACACACCAGTGCTGGTCTGACAGTGCAGCCAAAGTGTCACTCACTCTCCTGCCCCCTCCTAAAATCCATTCTGCTGGGCGCAATGGCAGTTTTAACAAGGAGAGAAAACCCAAACACTGTTTTCATTTCGTTACAGGGCAAACATTATCAGCTTCACATCTACTCTCCCGACTCCTCCAGACGCAACTGCAGCGTCAAGATACGTGCACACACTTGCTGAGGCCGTAAGCTGAGCACACCCATGAGTGGGTTCACTGTCCACAGGCAGATTCCACACACCCTTTTAATTTTACACACCTGTCAGAAACTAACAGCACAAGAGGGGCTCTCGCAGCGCAGAAGTGTTGGGCGTTACCAAACCGGGGCTGTGAAAACCCAGAAAGCCCTAGGCAACCTCAGCTGCATGCCCAGCAGCGTGGCCAGCAGGGCGAGGGGGGGATTCTGCCCCTCTGCTCTGCTCGGGGGAGACCCCCCTGCAGTGCTGCCTCCAGCTCGGGGGGTCCCACCAGCAGAAGGACACGGAGCTGTTGGAGCGGGGCCAGAGGAGGGCACGGAGATGCTGGGAGGGCTGGAGCCCCTCTGCTGGGAGGACAGGCTGGGAGAGTTGGGGGGGTTCAGCCTGGAGAAGAGAAGGCGAAAAAGGGGAGACCTCAGAGCCCCTTCCAGTGCCTAAAGGGGCTCCAGGAGAGCTGGGGAGGGACTCTGGATCGGGGGCGGGGGGAGCGATGGGATGAGGGGGAATAGTTTTACACTGAAAGAGGGGAGACTGAAATGAGATCTGAGGAAGAAATTGTTGAGTGTGCAGGTGGTGAGCCCCTGGGGCAGGCTGCCCCGAGAAGCTGTGGCTGCCCCATCCCTGGAGGTGTTCAAGGCCAGGTTGGACGGGGCTTGGAGCAACCTGGGCTGGGGGGAGGTGTCCCTGCCCAGGGCAGGGGGTGGCACTGGATGATCTTCAAGGCCCCTTCCAGCCCAAACCCTTCTGTGATTCCCTACGGCACAACACCCTGCCACAGCCCTGCTCTCGGCTGCCTTCGCCCTCACAGCTGGATTGATGGCGGTGCTTTGCAAAGCCTGAAAAAACCCACCTTAAAAAGGAGTATTAGGGGGAGGCAGCCACCCAATTTCCCCCGTAG